TCTCATAGGTGTGTGCACCTGGGGAAAATCCCCAGCATTTAATCCCTTTTGAGTTTTTTATGCATTGCTTAAGAGTTACAATTCAAGTCTGAAGAACACTGTTATCAAATAACAATTTAATGAAAAACACTGAAAAAGTTTCACTTTGCAAAATTAATTGCAGTAACTGACGTTAATTGTCTAAATAACTATGCAACAGAGATACCTGCTTTATGCAAGCTCTGATCTTATGCTGATTGCTTCCTTACTAATATAATTATAGACAGAATTTACAGCTGGAAAATACAAAGTAATAAAAATGTTAACCTTTTAATTGAATTAATGCAACATTCTGACACAATGTAAATTTCCTTGTTCCATTTAGAAGATACTGCTGGCATGTCACCCAGATAACTGAGAATGTTGACAAATTCTAGAAATTTCACTGACAAATGGTATACCGTGGCCAAAGTAGACAATGCACAATTTACAAAAATGGAACCTAACAGAAGCACAATAAGCAAGGGATTCCAATGTATGTATAATGGGGTGGGGATTGGTAAGACTTAATTTGTTGTCTCCTGCTACTATACTGAGGGAATCCTTCCAATTTGATCTGCTTTGGAAGGTTTTCAATATGCATGAACAGGATCTTCTTTTCCAGCACAGATAGCTAGTGGATACACAGATCAGTGGAACTGGACTATGACTATCAACATAATCCAAGCCTGTCTTCCCCTTTGCAGATCACACAATTAGCACTTTTTATTTTTAGTATGTATAGCTTGCAATAGAGAGGGAGGAGGAGGAGGAGGAGGAGGAGGAGGTGGTGGTGGTAAAAAGGCTTTAATCACAACTAAGGATCAAAAGCAGGCTTTTAAAAAGCCATATAATAATTGCTGAGTGAATCAAGTATCCTCCAGGTTTGCCCCAGTCAAGCTGATAGTAATAAGAGCAATAATTAAGTGATCTCTGTAAAAATGTAGGTCGAAATCAAATGTGGCCTTCCAGCAGATAGAAAGTTCTTCTTTTGCAATCCACTCAGGCTAAAAACATTTATGCCTAGTCATCTGTTTAAAAGTCCATTTCTTATGCTTTTAGAAGTCTGCTTAAATAAAACTCCTGAAAAAAATATTCCATTTTTTCTCAGACTTACCACATTAATAGTGGAATAATGATAAAACACTTTGAGTGAATATTTCAGATAAATTCCAAATGTTTAAAATAACAGAATTTCTTCAGTTCTCAGGTACATATATTTAACATCATGAAGAAGAATCCTGTAATGTGTTCAATGAGTACAAATTATACCATTTTAGTTTTGATGATAAGTTATATCTATCTAGCTTAGCAAATATTAAAAAATAAAGTATCTAATATCTTAAGATTTTATATATATTCAGGCCTGTTTAATGCAGAAATGCTTCCACTGCCCTTTTTGAGAAGACATCTTACAGCATAAATGTAATTTCCAAATGCTGGAAATAATTCATATTTTTAAGCCTGGGCATTTTTGCTTTAGTCATTTCATAAATTCTACATAACTATAGAATACAATTATCTATTGTATTTATTCCATTTTAGTCTTGCTTAAAGAAAACTGGCATTTAGTGCCTTAAAATTATAGCTGTGCTTTTACCATTAGCATTTCTGTACAGAATTATGTTGTTTCATTTGGTTTGCAGAGATTTATATCTTGCTAAAGAACATGAGCAAATTCTTGGCCAGCAAATCCAGTTTTTCTTACCCTGGAAGCAGCCCTCCACGGTTTCAGACCAACAAACAAACCAAATTTCATTTGTTAATGAGCAACATAAAACAAAAACAACCTGGAAAATTAATAAGATGAAAAGCAGAAAGTGCTGTATTTCAGATCTTCAACATCCTCTAAGTAGAACTTGTTTGCTAGCTACTGGAAGTGAATGCAATGTGTTCTGCATGAACATCATGTCTAATGTTTTTTTACTAGTCTAGTGCAGTGATTCTCAACTGGGGGACCGCTGGGGGAAATGACTATCACAGTGTCATTGTGATAGTCACAATGGGTGACTGTCACAGTGGGTCCACTGAAAGCTCGTAATGTTATGATTTAAATCTTGAGTTAAGTCTGGGGGGGGGTTTGTGGCCATGGCCAGTGGCCACACAAGGTATTTAAAGGGAGGTCCATGGTGTAGAAAAGGTGAACCACTGATCTAGTAGTTAAGACACCAGGCTATAAACCAGGAGACTCTTGAGTTTCAGGCCTGCCTTAGGCATGAAAGCCAGCTGGGTGACCATGGGCCAGTCACTCTCTCAGCCCAACCCACCTCACAAGGTTGTTATTCTAGGGAAAATAGGAGGAAGGAATAGTAAGTCTGTTCACTTTTGAGTTATTTATAAAAAACAATAAAGGTGAGAGACAATAAATAAATAGATGGCAAGCAAGCAAGCAAGAAGGAAGGAGGGAGGGTAACATTGTAGTCAAAGCTGTACATTCTGCTGAAGTATGCGAGAATATGAAAATATTTATTTTTCCCAATCCTAATCATCTAAAATATTTACAAGTTATTTGAAGATCCATACATCCGTTAAAAAAAACAATTATCAACCACGTTAACCTGATTTAGTGTCTTGAGTTGCAATACTCTTAAAAGTATATTAGCCTAAATGTACATGAACTGACTTTAATCCTGGCTACTTGGAAATTATATATATGAACAATTTGGAAAGGTAGAGAATTGTATAACTTGAATAATCTGATAAATTTATCAGTTTATTGTAGTTTCCAAGCTAAGTGAAACTAGATGAATCAACAGCATGTTTTGTGATTGTTTTCAACTGTGCCTCAAAATTAATTTTGCTTATTGATTGTATATATCCATATTGTCTACAAAACAGGTAGAGCAAAACTGAAGGTTACTCCTAATTGACTGGAGTGAATTTGAAGTGAGTTTAAGAGTTTGCACAAATAATTATTTATACTGATTTTTAATATAAGAAAAAAGTCCTTCTGCAATGCATGTGTGAGTATTTTTCAATCAAACTAGGAAAGTTGCAGAAGTATGTGTTAATATGCCCAATCAATAATGGCTTGACTTTAACATTGCAAACTAATTTCTCTCTGAATCATAATTTCTAAGTCATTTAAAAATCTGATATTACACTTTTCTCTTATAAATACAGCCTTTAAAGGTTTTAGAATGTAAAACCTATTTCAGTTACCGTACGCTGCTTTACACTGACTATGTTTATAGAATAAACTTGCAAAGAAAAATAAAAATTTGGGGTTAATTCATTTGCACTCATATCCATTAATAGAACCAAAGGCATTTATGTCCCAAAGTCCATTCCAGTTTTGTATAAATGGCTAAATTATCTACAAGCTATGTCAGTCATAGCAATGCCATTAGGGAAGTACTGCTCACTCAAGTATCAATACAGCCACTTCTGCCCAGTTTTGTGCTGCTTCTTTTATGATCTTCCCATATCATCTTATATATACACACACCTAAGACACTGGTGGTGAAGAGGTTGCTACTTCATTCTCTTAGTGTGGGAGACCTCATTTTGTGTCCACGTTCTTAGGCTCCCTCTTCAGTCCACGATCCATAATTCTCCATTCACCATATCAATAACAGGAAGCAGGAGATTCACTTATATGACCACTTATAACCTCATTGTAGAGTTGGAGACAGCTAGAAGATCTCTCTTGCAGAAATCACCCACCGTAGTCCATCAGTTAGTATCTGTCTGGAAAGCCCTGTTTGGAAGGTACCTGGATGTATGATCAGAACTGTTTCAAGCCTTGGCCTGAGGCCCTTATGAATCCTTTGTCAAGAGAGGAAGGAGGCCTGCCCGAAGGTACAATTAAGAAATCTGCTTCCTCAATTTGCCTATCCTTCACTACTGTAATGATTGTAAACTTTAAAACAAAGATAGAGATCTCACTCTGAAATCTACATAGTTTCTCTGTATTGCTACTCTTTCTCCACTGGGCTCCTCCATCTAATGTGATAGCTAGAGAGAGGACAGGAAGAAAATTGCTCACTGCTCTGAAGAGGAAAAAAATACTTCTTAGCTTTTATGACAACTCTTTGTCCTTGTGCTAGAAGCCTGGTCACTGCAGCTGGGAACCTTCTCCATTGGCTTTGATTGTCCACTTGTGTGTGTGCCAAAACTCCTTGAATTGAAGAGCCTTCAATTCCTAGTACAAAGCACTCTGTATTTGTTCACATCACTCTGTCACTGATTTGGAAGGAGGTTCCTCCACATCATAGCAAAACTCCTACATTTTGTATCAAAGAGGTGAAGTTAATCTTTCTGTTAGGCCCACTTTATACTGGAATGGCATTTTGTTTCTGGCATTGTACAATTAAGCATCTCTCCTAGTAAACTGCACCACCATAATAAACTACTTGAGTTTGTGGATAAAATAAAAAAAGCATTTTCCTTTTACTGATCCAGTTAAGGGATGCATGAATTCTTGGGGAAAAAGTGGGGTCCCCTAATGAATATCAGAAAGATGCTGCTATGTTCACCTGAGGCTCGATACATTTCCATATTATTTCTAAAACTTGCTCGATCTACTCTTAAGTATGATATACCAGATGTAGTAATGGCAACTGGTTATTACACCAAGGCCACTTGGCAGAAACTTTAAACCTTCTGCCAGGACTTTTAATTGGCACTGTTAAATGCACTCATTTGTGCACCCAGCAGCTACTTTTTGAATGAAAATGAGAAACCTAGGGAAAGCTGGAAGATGCAAAATATTACCCATTGTTAGTTACCTTTTCCAATTAGTAATGTAATGTGTGCATTATAACTCAGCGGCTTCTTACCTAAAAAGCACATTAACAATAGTTGCGCCATCGTTGCAGCACTGGACCTCGTCCTCACTGTTTTGGATTTACTAAAAAGGGCCTTTTAATTATTTTAATTTCTTTCAAGCTGGGAATCTATAAAATCAAATCTTGGTGGTAAAATGTTCATCAAATAAACAGCTAAATTTGTTAATAAATTCTCATTATTCTTTTTTTTTGATGTGTGAGAGGGCAATTGTCCTTTAAAGTGTTTTAGCAATCGCTGAAGCATTCAAAAACAAGCAGACTTTGCTATTTGTCATAGTTGGAAAATCTGGCAGCAAATACAAAAGCATTAAGTAATAAACTAAAATAGTCCAAAGTGAGAATATCTGTACTGTTATTTTTATGGACAAGATATCAGTATTGGAGCCAACGTTTTAGCAATTTAATTATCTTTTTCTACTGTTTAAGCGTACTTTGGATAATGATTATATGCGGTTTATTATGCTATATTATTACATAAACTGCCATCCATAATGCAAATACAAAACAAAAACTGCAGACTTCATAATTCAAATGTCTGCACAATAATGTCATACATTACTTCACTTAAAGTTGAATACGATGTAGTCAAGTTTAACCAAAACTTTCTTAACAATTATTTCATTTACCTAATGTGAATGATCAAAGAAATTTAAATCATTTATTGACAGCAATCCATTGAATATTTCAGCAAATATATTTAGCCTTCTATCTTCAGTATAAAACAATTGGAATCTGATGGAGAGATTAGTCTTCACATAGTATCACGTCAGTGAATCCAGTTGCATTTGTATTGTTTCCAACTATTTGATCAAAATAAAACAAAAATGGTATTTAGGAACATAAAAATGGAAGAGAAATAGTAAAAAATATGCAAATTGAATATAACCACACATTGATGAGATAATTCCCAATTAATAAAGCAAAAAAAAATCCCATTATTAAAGTCAACTTTTTAAAAAATGTCCAATGACCATTTATAATGTATAGACATGTTTGCAATCTGGAAACCTATGGATATGACTGAGTGAATTCATCACTGGCATAATGTAAATACCGTATTTTCTGGACTATAGAGCGCATCGGAATATAAGCTGCACCCACTAAATTTTAAAAGAAAAAAATATTCTTACATTTATTAGCCGCACCAGACTATAAGCCGCAGATATATACGTTGTGAAATGAGATATTTACACAGGAAGAGAACAATGCTCTTCGCATGCGGCCAGATGTCTCCAATGTCTCACCATTGATTCATTAATGCCAAGTTTACGTGTAGCAGCTCTATTTCCTTCCTGGATAGACAGATCGATTGCTTTCAACTTAAAAGCTGCATCATATGCTTTTCTTCGTGTACTTTCCATGATGAGGGTGTGAAAAATATTTTGCGTTCATGCGTGTCATGCTGCTTGCGTCAAGCGCGCCAAAAACTACTGCTAGCGTCTTCTTCTTTGCATTGACCTCTTGCGTCTGTCACGTTTTTGCGCCCCCTGATGGCAGTTAGCAAAGAAAAATCTATAGATAAGCCGCATTGTTGTACAAGACGCAGGGTTCAAAGCGTGGGAAAAAAGTAGCGGCTTATAGTCCGGAAAATACAGTAAATATGTTTTACTGATTTAAGTTTTTCAGAATTTCTTGTCCTTTTGGTTCTTGTTAGAACTTGCTGGTTCAAGTTATAGCAAACCCCACTTTGTTCAAAGCCATTTGAAACAGTAAATGTAAACCTTGTGTATACAAGATATAATTCAGAAGAGCTTTGCTTTGGGGAGGAAGGCATTATGTGTTTACAAGCAAGAACAACTCAGAACTATTGAGTTGATTAAATAAAGTCTTACTAAAGCAAAGGAAATGTTATCAAACGCTGAAAAAAAATATTAAAACACCAATACAGACCTTGTTATAGAACTCAAACAGTTCTTTATGATTGAATTCCACAAATATTTTCTCCACATTCTGTGAAAGACAAAAAGATGGGCAACAAATTAGTGCACACAATATAGTGTTATCTGTACAAACTGTTACTGTAGTTCTGTAATTTCCTGTAAGGGTTAATTTAATCTTCATAGAACATGTAAAAATAACATTTTTTCACACGATATATATGCGTGATTACAAAAAACAAAAGGACTCATTCCCATTTTTACCTGTTTCTTTGAAAGTCAGAACAAAATAAATGGCTAGGAAAAAAATAATTTTATTATCTTTTTTGAAGAACATCTGAAAAAAGTGATATTTCCATCTCTGCCAAATGTCCTCTGTCAATTAGTAAATGCCATTAAAACAAAACATTGGAAGGTGTGCTGAACTCATCCATTATGGTGGTATTTAAGCATAGACTTAACATTTCACATTAATTTAACTGTTAATCATGTTGAGCTTTCCTTAGATATTTACCCAGACCTCCAATCAAAGTTTAACACAAAAAAGTGCTTTAAAACTATTTTTAAATATTAAAGACAAAAGCAGCTCATGATGGGAAACACAATGGATGAGGCAGATGGTAGGTAATAATTTTCTGCACCAATAAATCTCTCCTGATTTGCTGGCTAATGGCTACACAAACACTGTGTTTTGTATTTCTAAACTTGTATTTATTTTATTTTCTATATCCTTTACTCATATTTCACTTGAAATAAAGAAGAATGTTTCAAAAGTGTTAATTTTTCTATATAGACAGTAATTCTACACAACATTCTTCATCATAACTGCTCAAGAACATATAAAGCACTCTTATCTTAGTATCTCAACAACTCCACCAGTAGTTAGATAGTAGTTTACCTGGAATCGTACAGTAGGCCATATGTCCTCTCACTCAGATCCAACACATAATGTTAGGTCTTGGTGTTTTCTTGGTCAAGTAACATTTTGGACATTTGTTAATCTTATACTTCTGCCATTATTTCAACTTTTTCCATTTTATTTTTCATTGTTTGATTTCCTTAAATATGTACTCTGCTAAACAATTCCCTCAACACTGTCCAAAGTCTGCACTACTATTATTATTAACCTTCTCATCACTCCTTATCACCCATCCCTTCCCACTTGTGATTGTAGGACTGTAACTTTGTCGCTTGTATCCTTACGATTTATATTGACTGTTTCCTAGTATGATCTGATTGCTGATTGTAAATCACTTTTTCAGCATCATCGTAACTTTGAACAGTCAGTAAATGAAGTGTCATAAGTTGAGAATACTAACATATCAAGTCCATTGTATAGATATGAAAGACTGAAAGATGAAACTAAAACAATTCCTTTAATTGGCATTTTGTTCATGGCAAGAAAGTGCAACGGATTCTATGGATTCAGTTCTACCACTGGACCAATGATTTCCAGGTAATGAGATAAGCAAACAACACATGTACTGTGAAACTGATATTAAGAAGCATAAAATCAGTGGGACCAGCATATCCACCTCACTGCCTCCTCTCTTCTGCAGAAAAATATCCCATTTTAGTAATTAAAAGAAAGTTATATCTATATGAGAATCTAGCCTTACCATAAGAAAGGAAATAAATCATTATGTTCAAAATGGGGTACAGAATAAAAAATAGAAATGCTAGAAAAGAGTTGCGGTCTGTAATGACTCCTGTTGATACATCAGGGTGTTAAACTCGCGATGACACATTGTAATGTGATGTATTACAACTTTTTCCCTTTTGCTAAACTGGGGGTGGGCGTGGCCAGTGCATGACACATCAAGCACTTGCTCTACATAAAGAACATAAAATGTTTTTTAAAAAGGAAAAATGTAAAAGGTTCTGATAGCTCACAAAATGAAAATAAGTTTATGCTGGTCTACTATGATATAATAAACTCTTCGTTCATTCCCAAAATAAGTTTAAAACTGCTACTTGCAGGAAAGGGGAATACATTTCTTAAAAAATCCTAGCATTGCAATGCCATAGATTGTCATCTCCATCTCAGTAAATATTCATATAATTTCAAAAACAAAACTGCACGACTATTTTGGGAAATACTGCTATTTATTTACACTAAATAAAAGTGTAACCAGTTTGCTTAACTGTCAAATGAATTTTGGTGCTGGATAGTATGTGCTCCTAAGCTGCCAAAAAGTTGACAGTTTATAAATGTAAAATTTTATAAAAGAAAATAACTTAATATTTATACATTTAACAAATGAAAAGAAAATCCTCAGACAAGTCATTTTTATACAACAGAAATATTATTATTTGAATGACTAACATAACGTTTTGCTTTATATTTCAAATTAGAATTAGATGGTAAGCCCAGCCTAGACATGCAGAGACTGAAGCACTACTGGATGCTCTGAACAGCTCAAGGGAGAATAAGGTGGGATCCACTTGACAAATTGGAAATTTAAAACTTCTCATACATGCCTCTAAATCTGGCTGGTACAACAGTGAATTATGGAAAACATTTGTTCTTGGATGAAATTGATTATCAAGATCCATTTCCATTTGGTTTCAGGACTGCTTACGAACAGAAACAATCTTGGTTGTTGTGTGAGGATGACGAGGCCCAGAAGAAAAATGGAGGTACCATCCTGTTAGTCTTACTGGAACTCTCAACAGATTTCTATACCATACTATTGGGCAGACTATCAGAGTTGGGATATGGGGGTACAATGCACTATAATGCTTCAATCCCTACTTGGGTGACCAGTTCCAAAAGGTAGTGCTGGCAGATTATTATTCTGCCTCGTGGGAGTTCCTCAGGGCTCCATTTTACTCCCTCTGCTGTTTAACACCTTTATAAAACTGCTAGAGAGGTTATTCGGAAGTGGGTTCAGATGCCACCAATAGAAGAATGATACCTAGCTATGTATCTCCTTTTCATCTAACACAGGTGAGGTGTTAGTATCCTAAGTCAATGCTTCAACTGGGGAAGGGTCTGAAGCAGGAGTGTCAAAACTCGTGTTATTGTGGCATCATCACATGATCTATCAGGACTTTCCCCCTTCGCTAAACTGGGTGGGGGCGAGGCCAGCACGTGACGTATTTGGCCCGTGGGCTGCAAGTTTGACATCCCTGGTCTGGATGAAGGTCAATAAGCTGAGAATTAATTTAGATAAGATGGAAATACTGTTTGTGGATAGTATATTGGTCCAGCTGAGTGGTGCCTGCCTGACTTTCAATGATTCTAAAGGAGCAGTTCTGTGTTTGGGGTTGCTGTAATAACAGAATATTGTCTGGTTGTGCTGCATTCTCTTTACCTTTCTTATATTCCTATGAAATAGGAAAGTATCTAAGCCTTTTCTGAATATGATCTGTCTATTGTGCACTTATACTTCACTCATCATCCCTTTAGTTATGGAAAAATCAAGGTCATCTTCCTTATTCTCTGCATCTTCCTTATTCTTTGTCATTTATAGTGGCTGATAGTCTATTTCCAAATCCAATTCAAAATGCTGGTTTGACTTTTAAAGACCTAAACAGATAGAAAGGCTCTCTCCCTTGTATAGCCTTACCTTGTCTCCTTTGGTGGGGGACCTGGAGGAGAGCCCCATTAGATGACCTTAAGGTCTACGTAGATACATACAGGAAAAGGTGCTCCTTGAGATAACCTGCTTAGCTAGGTTTCAACTCGCAATACTTAGTTCAATTATTTCTCTTCTGCATATTACTCACTCATATTGCATACTCAGTTTTCTGAATGATTGATTGACGTTATTTTAAAGTGCACTCGGCTGGGAAGGCTGATTTTATAGACTTGATGCAGAAGCAGAAAAATCTCAGCTAAAGTTCTAACTAAACTATGAAGCTGACTGGACTTCAACATCTCTTAGGCATCCATTTCATCATAGGAATCTGTGCAACATGTAGATCAAGTTTTTTTATTTAGCATTTTGTGAGACTTTCTTATCTACACTACTTCTTCAGTTAGTGCCATCTCTTTTTTCCATTTGGTCCATAGCATACTTTGAAGTATGAACAATTAAAATTATTATAAGCCAGGATTTCATTGTTAGCTTGGGATAGATCTCTATCATAATCCCTACAATTATAGGAGTTTGGGGAGGAAGAGAGGGGGAAGGAGGGGAGGAGGAAGAGGAGGAGGAAGAGGAGGAGGAGGA